GAATCAAAAAAAAACCAGACAACAAAAGATCCTAAGAATATATTATATGGACGAAAAAAATAAATATCAGACGATATTAAATTAACAACAAAACATCATAAATAATAAAACTAACAAGATAAAAATAAAAAAAGATACATCAAATATGAATAAAACTCAAACTAACTAATACATACACAAAAGTAAATATAACTAAACTTAAAAATAATTTATTAAAAAACAAAAAAATAAATAAGAGTATCCACAATATCAAACTATTTTTTCAAATAAACAAACATGAAATGTTTTGTCCAATTCAGGCGATCCATCCTATACTTTGTATGCGGTGCGCATCACATAGTAAATCTAGGCTAATAACCGGAATAAGAACACACAATGTTTTCAAAACTTGATGAGTCATGGTTAGAAGGCGATCTCTTGATCGGCTCGCGAGCGCAGGGGTTGCTCACGAACAGTTGACCTTCCCCAATCGTACCAAGTTCCCGAGCCGAGGCAACTTTGGTGATGACGGACCACGTGTGGCCTTAGGCAACGAGTCTAGGGTTTCCTAAATTTCTCAAAATAAAAACATTTACAGGTGTGCGAACTCTGTATCTTTTAGCAAAGCAAGTCCATGCTTTGGCACATTCTTTCAAAATCTGTTTTCTCAAAAACGATTTGCTGGATTTGACTCTTTGGTTCAGGAATTTAGAACGTGACATATTTGAGAGTCCGAAACTGTCAATATCGAACGGAACGGGGGACTCGTTCCTCCCGGGGCGTTCGGAGACGTCTACAGTCGCGCGCGCACCATCACTTTACGACCGTCTACTTGTTCGTTTCCTTGATAATTCCACACCGTTGCTCGAGCCACCAAGCTCTTGCTGGTCTATCCTGATGTTGGAGGACTAATCCCGTCCAACCCTTTAAAGCGCACATTCCCTCCAACTGGCAATCCAAAGTTGTTCCAACTCACCGGACTGAGTCGTCGTACTGTGTGCACCCAACTCTGACCGAGTAAGGGCTTGTCTCTGGCCCAAACCAACTCAGCCCAATATCAGGTCGTAAACCTCCCTTTCAAAGGGTTAATTTATATTATTTTTTAAATTATTGTATTATTCCATTTATCTTTTGATTATTAATTTCATCTATTTTGTCTTTAATTTTTTAATTTTATTTTAGTTCATATATTCAAATAGAAATAATCCGTTCAAATCAAGTAATGAGCAGAACAATCATAAATTTTATTTAAGTGTCGAGGTAATGTAGATAAGTCTGAGTGGATAAATCTATTTCGGAACTTCTTAATTTTCAACCAAAGTCACCTTTATTAGGAGTAATATTACAAGGTACTCTTATCAATTCAAAATTATTCAAAAATTAATCTCTTTACTTCTACACAAGAGACCTCACATAAATCTCACACTAACAATTTTCATCACATAATTATTTACCAAACAAATTCTACATAAATAAATCTGAGTAGCAGATTTTCCCCTTTATTTTGTTTTTAGAAGGTCTTTCCCCGTTTGTTAGTGGGGTGACCACGCACAGAATTTTGTTTCTGAGTGTTTGTTGACTTAGTTGACCAATGATTATTTAAAGAGTTAGTGACAAACGCACAGATTTTGTTTCTAGTGTTTGTTGACTTAGTTGACCAATGATTATTTAAAGAGTAGTGGACAACGCAAGAATTTGTTTCAGTGTTTTGACTTAGATGACCAATGATTATTAAAAGAGTTAGTGACAATCACACAGAATTTTGCTTCTAGTGTTTATTGACGTAGTTGACCATGATTATTTAGAGAGTTAGTGACATCACACGTGTTTATCTCTAGAAAATTTGATAACTTTGCAATCAAAAAAAGTATTTGGCTTGTAAGTATGTAAAACCGACGACACATGGCAAATTGTATTTCTTTAAAAAAAAGATATATTACTTTGTGGTTCCATTTTTTAAAAACAGTTTTAAAAAATTTTATATTCTTATTTCCGTATTCTTTTTGTTTTTACTGAATTTTTTTAATATTTTATGAAAAATTTTTACTTTTTAGACACACCTAGCATAAATACACCTAAAAAGTAAAAAAATTATAAAAAATCTTTTAAAAAATCACTAAATACCAAAAATACAAAAAAAATACAAGAATTTAGTACATTTTTTGTATTTTATGTATTTCTTAATTTTTTAAAATATTTTTTCACAATTTTTTACTTTTTAGACACATCTAAGTAAGGTGCATTTAAAAAAATTAAAAAAAATGTTTTAAAAATTTTAAAAATATTCACTAAAAACAAAAAAAATACGAAAATCAAAAAACTCAGTTTTCAAAAAATTTAATCCAGAAAACTCAAACCAAACACAATGATTATTTTTGAAAATCTATGAATCTATTTTTTGTATATTGTTCATAAAAAATTAAATTAATTTAATAATTATAATTTTTTATCTTTTTATATTTATTTTCAATAAATGAATGATTTATTTTTTTTTTAAGTCGTTCATTTTTTTCAGACAAACGTCATAAAATAGGAGTTTTTTTTTTTTTGATGTCCTTGGTATTAAAATTTTATTAGATAACTGACATATAACATTTTCATAGTGGTTGTGATCTCTCAACATTTTTCCAGTAAAATTTTTCTGATTTTCTCCGTATTTTGAAATTTCTCTAAATTGAAATTTTTCTAGTGTATTTACAAATTTCTCTGTATTTTGACCAATTTTCTCTAATTTACCCACAATTTTCTATATCTTTCGACCAAACCATAGAAAATTGATGATATATCCACACAGGATTGATCACCCAAATCAGGAACAACAACAATAACAACAACAACCAATTTATGAATCAGAAGATGAAATTCACAACAATTTCACAAACGTCATAAAATAGGAGTTTTTTTTTTTTTTTTTTTTTTTTATAAATGAATGGTTTTTTTTTTTAAATTCGTTCATTTTTTTCAGACAAACGTCATAAAATAGAAGGAGATTTTTTTTTTTTGATGTCCTTGGTATTAAAATTTTATTAGATAAGTGACATATAACATTTTCATAGTGGTTGTGATCTCTCAACATTTTTCCGGTAAAATTTTTATGGTTTTCTCCGTATTTTGAAATTTCTCTGGATTGAAATTTTTCTGGTGTGTTTACAAATTTCTTTGCATTTTGACCAATTTTCTCTAATTTACTCACAATTTTCTATATCTTTCGACCAAACCATAGAAAATTGATGATATATCCACACAAGATCGATCACCCAAATCAGGAACAACAACAATAACAACAACCAATTTATGAATCAGAAGATGAAATCCACAACAATTTCACAAAGTGAACTGACACATGGCCTTAGAAGCCGACGCCAAGTAAACTGCTGCAGCCCCATTGCCTGCCATCGCCTCGAAAGACGGCACCACAGCCTTCATTCGATCACAGTAGTGTCTGTATCTTCTGTCCACCTAAGAGAAAAACAAATAGTTGCAAGTTTTTGTCAATGAAAGTATGAGAATTTTATAGCATTGAATACAAAGAGTTTGATAAAATGGAGGTAGGAATAGAGGTTTTTGAAATTAAATGGAGTTGCCACAGTTGTCACCATGTGGGCATTAATGGAAAGGCTCTCTCAGTCGCTCAATTAGTTCAAGATATTGAGTCTCTCAACCATTTTCGTGTTTAAATTTCTTGTCATATTATACAGCAGATGTTTTGGTTCTGGTTCTGTTATTTAGCAGAAGTTCTTCTACCCCATCTCTATTCGGGGAAGAAGAGAGAGAGTGGGTGTGATATATAAGTGCGGGTGAATGACCTTAAGCTACAAAAAGAAATATTGTGGACCTCTTTTATTATTAAAAGTTAGAGAGAAATGTTAGACTAAATAGTCCAAAATAAAAAGGTTACATGATTATCGGATTAACATATTTTTTTCATAAATAATATATATAGAAGGTCCTACAAAATAAATAATTATGATCATTAAAATAAGATATGTGATAAATCTCATGAACCTCTTAAATTCTCTCAAATTTAAATCTAAACTTGAAAAAAATTCAACCTACCTAAAAATATATTTTTGGATATGCAATAATTGCTTCTAACATCGTGGACACATTATTAGCTTACGTAAATTCTCAAACCCTCTCAATCCATTGAGTCTTTATTCCTCAATCAAATTCTATCCTCATTTTTTTGTGTTATGAAAGATTGTATGATGAAAATTTAGATTTTGATAATGAAATCATCGTTTATAACAAAGCTAGAATTGAAAGCATGAGTTTTAGTGCAGAAAATTGTTTTCTTTTTTCCTTCAGCTCATTTCGGTAAATAAGGGCAAAATTATTATTATAATTCCACAATCTACAACTGAAAAATACAAAATGTTTCGGACTTCAACTTCCAAATAAAAATATATTTTTTTGACAATCAACTTCCAAACCAAATTAAAATTTTCTATTATCAATTTCCGAATAAAACACATTCATTAGACAATGTATTTCCAAACCAACCTATTGTTATTTTTTTATCAATCAATCAATCACTTTTTTTCTCGCAACCATCTATTCAACTATAAAAAAAAATTAAATTAAATTATCACAAACTCCAAAACTCTAAAACCATTCTCAAAATATACAACCAAACAAAATTTTAAATTTTGTAAACTCTTTCTAAAAAATTACTTTTCAAAATTATTTCACAAATACAAACCAAACATGGCCTAAATATTTATAATATTTTTAAGTGTATAAATTGGGAAGGATGTACACAGAGTGAAAATAATATGTGAAAATAAAAGTTTTCAAGGATCCGTATTAAGAGCCAACCTCAAGGATGTCAGTGTAATTTATCGAAACATCTATATAACAAAACAAGCGGTTGATAGGACAGTTGTCTACATGCATGGATAGATGATCACACCTTCCTCTTTCAAAAACAGGGAACACCCAATTTCACTAAATCACAAGATTTCAAACAATGATGTCCCTATTTATACCCCAAATTGAATACACTTTTCCTCATCCCCTCAATGGCATTCCCATCACATATTCAACTTTCTTGTCTCTCAATTATCACATTTTACATTTTTCTCGCAACTTCTTATGCAACTGCACTAAACTTCAATATCGCCAAAATCGGTCCCAAAAATCTCAACGTCGACATAACCACCAGTGGAGACACATACATCTCCTCCAATGGCATCCACCTCGCGGCGGACAAGTACGATACCAACTTAAATTCCAAAGCCGGCAAAGCCACCTACGTCAAACCGCTGCACCTCTGGGACAGTTATTCCGGCAAGTTGACCGACTTCACCACCTATTTCTCCTTCGTGATTGATTCGGATGGAAATTCAACTTTCGGAGATGGGCTTGCATTCTTCCTTGAACCTTCCGGTTCCAGCAGCACCGCAGGCACCACTACAGGCGGTGCCATTGGGCTTCCAATCGATCGATCGACATTGGAAGCCACTAGCCCATTTGTCGCTGTGGAGTTTGATACGTTTCAGAATTCTTGGGATCCACAAGACATCACTCCTGTTACTCATCTAGGTATCAATATCAACTCCATTAAGTCTAATGTGACTAAGGTATGGTACAATGACATACCTGATGGGATAGAAAATGAAGCTGTGATTAGTTATCGCTCTAAGTCGAAAAAATTGAGTGTTGTTGTCACTAACACTATCAATAATGTCATAGTCAGACAAGACCTTTCTTTTATGGTTGATTTAAAGGACTACTTGTCACAATGGGTTACATTCGGCTTCTCGGCTGCAACTGGTACATGTTTTGAAAAAAATATTGTTAAATCGTGGAAATTTAATTCGAGTTTTTAAATTTGAGAAAAACAAAGTAAATGTTATAGCCCCAAGGGCACAAGGTAATCTTGGATTTGAATAAGGTATTTACCAGCTATCAATGAATAATTGGAATAATTGTTATTATTCCTTGGATGGATATACATTTCTATTTGAAATAATATGTTATGGATGCATCTTGTAATATGATTTTGTAATATTTTATCAGATTGTGGATGTTGGATTGTATTGTGTATTGAAAAATTTAGAAATCCCTTATATATTGATTTGTGATTATGTATCAATTGTAAATAATAATCTCAATCAAATAATCAAGACAAATCGATACAACGATTTTAACGTGGAAAAAATCACAATTGAAGAACCTCCAATTGTGATAAAAAAAAATCATGAGCAAAAGCCACAAAACAATCCACTAAGAAGATATAAAGGAATTACGCAAGTGTACTCTCAATTATCTAACGAATCCAAGCCTGAATTGAACTGACCCCTATGTGCCTCTTCCAGACTTTCTTCACCTCGGAATTGTCTTATCCAACGTTGAATCCACAACGCCGATATCGAATCCACGACGATGAGCCACTCCAGAATCTACCAAAGTTTCAGACTCAAATTCTACAGAATCCACCGAAGAACAACTCTCTCTTTTGTATTGAATGAAACAAACAATCCTTTGATGTATACTTGTCAAACAACGAGTTGAACTCAAACAAATATCAAAGAAACTAGTAAAGAAGCTCTAGATGAAAATCCTAATTCCCAAAAGAAGATCTGGAAGTCGTACCCTAAAATCTGACTAAACTGCACCTTTTATAGCAAATTGTTTTGCGATCTCTACTCGAGCGCAAGAATAGCCGCTCAAGCGGACTGACGCTCGAGTGCAGGAGGTGCCGCTCGAGCATAAAAACACAACTTCCAGTACTTTTGCAGACAGTTCAAATTTCTGAAACCAAAGATTTTCCGCTCGAGTGGACAAGCAACTTCGACTGTATTTTTGCTTTTTCCTTCGGGGGCGCTGCCCCTCGACCTTAGCGAAGTGGCGAACATGATAGAATTAACTCATGAAACATTTTTGCAAGGCACAATTCAGATTAAATTCGCATCTAAAACTCATAGCCTAACTTCAATACAAGATCGAATAAAATTACAACTGAAAGGAGTTTTGTCAAATAGGATTACTAAGAATAAAAACCTAACATGTATATATATAATAGATATAAGGTTGTAAAATAATCCACCAAAATTTTTATTAAAAAAATATATATATATAATATACACGATCTTACAGCCTCAATAATGTCATTCCAATATTTTCTATCATCAGCAATTACCTAAAGAAACACTCATCGAAAGCTTCTATACTCATTTTTTTCCCGAAAGAAACACTTACAAAAAGGTTCTATACTCATTTGTTCCCAAAAGAAACACATAATAAAAGCTTCTATAGTCAATTTTTAGTTTAAGGTCAAAGGAATTGACAACAACATTGGCAAAATGGCAAACAACGTGGTGAGAGAATTTTTGGCTTCGAGATGCCATCCAAGACAAGAAGCACACGTCAACAAGTCATAAATCAAAACCTAATTAAATTACATTTTTCACTTTCGCCGTTTATATTTATCTCATTTTGTTTTTTGATTTTTTTAATTATTTCAATCAACCTCCAGACTTTGAGTCAATCAGCAATTTGGACCATTTGCATAACGTCATTTTAAAAACTAACGTAATGGGCTATATTTGGCTTCTCAACTTCAACTGGTGTATGTTTTTTGAAAAGAATGTTAAAGGCAAGAAAATTTAAAGCAAGTTCACAAATTTGATGTGAAGAATGGAAATTTTACAGGAACTATACAAACCATATATCATAACAGTAAATGTTCAGTCCCAAACCTTCACCCTCCCACTTGGGCTCACCACTGGCCGACCGCCGCCAATGGCCATGGCGGTAAGTTGGCCGTTCTCTTTGTGTGATGTGTGTCATGTTACCCATCAATAAGCTTTTAACCCTCACAGTTTTCTCACCCGTTTTCGTTTTTTCGATTTTAATATTTTATTTTTGTGTTTTATTTTCTTATAATTAAAAAAAATCGAAAGGTTGAGGGTTGATTTTGTGGATCTGAGTAGCAGTAGTATGGTAATTTGTACTTTCCAAATCTCTCTCAGTGCATTTCATTTCTTATACTTTTAATTTCATATTTTTAATAAAATTTTCACTTTACTCATAATAAAATATAAAAAAAATAATAATAATAATATGAAAAATTGTATAGGTTTGAGGTCGTAGGGATAATTTGTTGGACTTTGATTGTGATATTTGTGTCACATTTGTATTTGGATTAATAATTGTAATATCCTCTGGATGAGTATACATTTTTTTTGGAATAATATTTTGTGGATGCATTTTATATAGGATACTTGATTATTGATATTGTGAATATATAAATATGTTGAATAAATTTGTACGGGAAGTGAAGAGAAATATAGGAATTTAATTTAAGATTATTGACGAAAAATTTAATTTAAAAAGTGAGGTTTGAAATCACCGGATTTTATGCACAAATGTCGTCTGAACACAATTGAAGACAAATGGATAAAACAATGTACAACATAAACTTGCTAAATAATTCAAAAAATGCATGTATTATTATTATTATTATTATTATTATTATTATTATTATTACCTGGCCCGACTCGAATTTTTCCGGGCACCCACGAGGATCGATATGAGCCGGGCCCCTACACATTGATGATATAAACATTTATATTGACGGTGTGAACATTCACATTAAGGGTATTTTAGTAATTATGTCACCCATAGGACTTATTGAAACATAAGAAAATAATGTGAACTAAATGGAACATAAGTAGATGAAAAGGGTATTTTGGTATTCTTATCTCAAATTGGACCTAATAGAATAATCAAAAAGAATATGGGTTGGATGGAATAAAACTCTTAGAAAATAGATTTATCAAAAAAGCTCCCTTATTATTATGGTTGTGATTGACAAAAACAAAAATAATTTATTGATGCAAAAAAATAGTATAAGGAGTACAAGGAGAAATCACACGAAATAATTGAATCAAATTTATGCATGATAAACTGATGTCTTAGATTAAATGATGATGCGAGAATAATTGTGGACAATATATTAGAATTGGAATCTCACTTACTATCAAAAATATTAATGTAACACAAAAAAAAATTATTGAAAATCACCCTCCCGCAATAGCCATTCAATTTTTGACTTTGAAGTCAACATGAGAACAACTCTCACTGATGATTATGAATAATGTTACATGCTCTTTTCATTAATAAGTAATTATTTTTTTATTATATAAATATTTAATGGAGTTAGATGAGAGCCTATTTAAACATATGGGTATTTTAATGTTTAGGAAGTTTGAAAATATTATACATTTTTTATTACATATATTTTTATGTAAAATATATAATTTTTTAAAATTTCTTAACATATATATAAAAATGCACGTTAACAAAATCCTTAAATATGTCATAATGGTGATTGCATTTAATGTTAATATTATATTCGATCAAAGCCGCCTTAGATAGTGTGGGGAGAGACATTTTATTGAGAGACTTATGTGTAGTTTTTAATAGGTAATTTTATTGTCCAATAGGTTCTGTGGTAATTAATGACATTTTTCATCAAATGCTATTAAAAAAAGGGAGCAGCTTGCCTCCAGTCCGAGATTAGACTGGATGATACTGTTTGGCCCATGGGGGCCATCACAGGGCCCATCACGGTCCCGTTTTGATAATCCAAACCGTTCAATCTGCAGAACTCGTCGAGTACTATATGCCTGTAAAAAATCACGTTGATCGGATATCGATAGCTAACTCATTGGTTCAGTTTTTTGTCAACCGTTAATTGTTCATCGTCAATTTTTTTTTATACAAAACTGATTTGATCACATAACTAGCGATATCCGATCAACGTGATTTTTTGCCGGCATATAGTACTCTACGAATTCTACACATTGCACGGTTCATATTATCAAAACAGAACCCGTGGTGGACCCTCACGGGCCGAACAATACCGTCCAATCCGATCTGGGACTGAAGGCAAGCTGCATCCTTAAAAAAATGTTACTAATAGTTAATTTTCAACAACTTAAAAATTATCACAAAAAAATCACTAATAATAAGTTTTAGCGGCAGTTAAAAAAATCATCACAAAAAAATTCACTATTTTTCAACTTTTAGTGACAGTTTGAAAAATTCGTCACAGAAAAACATCACTGATTGTAAGTTGTTAAATTTTAACGACATGCAAAAAAAAGTCACAAAAAAAAATTAGCGACGATTTTACTACGACTTATTTTTAATATGATTTTATGGGAATTAAATCCGACAATTAAGACATATTGATAGTTTAACTCATTTTTTAATTGACTAGGAAATAGAACAATAGCCTAAAAAGCAAGTGTGCGGCTTTGAAAAGTAGCCTAAATACCAATTCCAATCCCTCCTCTACCTCTCTAAACAAACGAGGCCTTAGTACTTTGGCTTGGAGGGTTAGGGGAGGAATGGAGAGAGAAAGAGAAGAGGTGGTGAAATTAAAAACGTGTGTCTGGGGCACAAAAAAAAAACAAAACAAAACAAAACAAAACAAAAAGTCCATCAATTAAAAGAAAAATAAACAAATTACCCCGGCTATAGCCCAACTGAGGTTAGGTCTGCTGTAGTAATGTGACTCTAATAATTTATGGTTAATTAGATCAATAGTCATTCTAGTTTCTCCTTAAATTTCGGTTTGGGCTTTCTTGTTTGAATTTCGTCAATTTAATCCTTATACTTTCCATGTCGTTCCACTTTGGTTCTTTTTGCTTTACAATCTTGATCCTAAGGTGAAGGGGCTAAATGTGAAATGGGTCGGGTCCAAGCCTTGGGTCGGCACAATCCGCTGATGTCCAGATCCAAGCGGGTTGGATGAGCATATAGGCAGATCAATTAAGCCTAACTTCATGATCAACAGACCACCCAAGTCCTCAAGCACTTAGGCCCAACCCGCAGTGGAAAGGCTAGTCCAGCCGTGGTGCTAGGCTGGGCCGAGCTGCGAGAC